GATGAATTCCTTCAGTTCTTTCCTTCAGTGTCTTTGATCCTTTCCTTCAACTTCTTTCCTTCCTCAGACTGAACACGTGCAGGCGGAATGGCACGTGGGGGATGGAAGGGAGCTCTGGCGTCAGGTGATCTTGGGTCTGACTCAGCTCTCACTTGGGAGCTCAGTGACTTTGAATCCATTGTGTTCCTCATCTGTAAAACAGAGACGCAGATAGCTGCTGGATGGAGTTACTAGGACTGAATGCGACATTGTAAAGCGTGTGCGTCCCCAGCTGCTAGGAGGTGCAAACAGGGATAGGTCTTATTTATCTCTCTTGCGAAGGTGAGTGAAGTGATGGGTAGGAGAACCTCGGGAGGAGCCTCACATCAGCAGTTTGCCACAAACCCGGGGGCCAGAGGGAGCTGTAGGTCTGTCATGGGGACCCACAAGCTCAGATGTCCAGGCTGGTCCTGGGACTCTGGGATCACAAGGGGTCCTGGGTTCTCCATCCACTGGGCTGACTGTCAGCCAACAGATGCTGTTTCAGTCCTGGGATAGTTCTCGTAGCTTGCAAGATACCAAGGGCTCCCTTCTGGTGCTCTGCGGTCAGGCGCTTGTGTGGGTGAGCCCCAGGGAGGCCAGTTAGGACATCGAGGAGGAGCCTCAGCCCTAGTCTGCTGGGCCCTGGGTGGGAATCTCTGGCATCTGGGTAGGGACAGCCCCCGCCCAGCTCACGCCCAAGGAGAGAAGGGCGCGGCAGGCCGTCTAGACAGCTCGTCCTGGCTGCCAGCCTGTGGCTTCATCCCTGGGGACACGCGATTGACATGCCTCCAGACTGCTAAGGGGATCTGAAACTTTAGACTTGGAATAAGCACACAGAGAGGCCTACCAGGAGCCCTTCACATTTAGCTCCTAACTTCAGAGGGTTGAGGAATTGTGGGCTAGTCTGTGGCCACTGTTAACCACCATTTGCCATCCTGGCTTCCCAGAACGTGTGGGTCTGCGGAGAAGGGCCCTAGTTCTGCCGCCTGACTTCTGGCAGATGCTCCCCAGTCCTTTCCCATGACTGTTGATATCTGCTGTCCTAGACAGGCCAGCTCAGAAGCCGGTCCATGTGTCTGAGATTAAAAAAAAAGGAGTTAAGACCACCAGAAATATTTACTAAGTAAATAATTCACAATAAGGCAGAAGCTACTTTAATTAGCTTTTTCTCAGTTTGGTATTTTGGTTAAATGAAATGGCCTATTTTATGTCTACCTTTTCTTCTATGTTCTTAAAAGTGCGTATGAAGATTAAACCATAACAAAAAAACGTCACACAGTTTTCAGGTCTCTGGCATAATTGGAACACAGATATTTTGTTGTTGCTCTAAATCAATTGAATCTTTCCAGAAAGCAAACTAGCGGAGTGTAAGCAAAGTTATAAAATTGTTCATAGCTTCCCTTCCCACTGGCTGCTCAATTTTAGGACTCTATCCCGAGGAAATCTCTTCTCCCTCAGAACAAACAGAGGAGGTAAAATATGCCTTGCCCAAAGTGTTTCTCCCTCTCTGTGACAGTGAGAGTGGACAGTCCTGTGACGTGTAGGCCTGGCTGAGGAGCAGTGAGTGACGCAGGGTAGTGTCTGCCGTCCTGCTGCCTCGTGGTCCCATGCGGAGAGAGCAGGTGCAGGGGAGAGGCCAACCCCAGATCCTGTGCACACAGTGATTTCCACCTCGTGGTCCGAGGCGGCCCGAAGTGCTGCCTGAGCTCCTTACTCCATACCTTCAGGTTCGGCACTCCAGGGGCTCATTCTGACTTCCCCACAACCAGCACTGGGGAGGACTGGGGAAGTTCCTGACTGTTTTCAAACCTGGGCCCTGGTGCTGTCAGGCTGTGTCTTTACCAACTCAGAAGAGAATTTGGAACAACGTAAATACTATGTGTGCTCACTGGCTTGTTTTTTTGTTTCCTTCTAAAGTTGCTTGAATTTATATAAAAATAAAACAATTTTGAATATGATAGTGGTCCTAAAAGATTTTATTTATTTATTTATTTATTTATTTATTTATTTATTTATTTATTTATTTGAGAGAGAGAGAGAGCATGTGCAGGAGCAGGGGAACAGCAGAGAGAGAGAGAGAGAGAATTGCAAGCAGACGCCCTGCTGCACGCAGAGTCCAACTTCAGGGCTCGATCTCACGACCCTGAGATCATGGCCTGAGCCGAAATCAAGAGTTGGACGCTCAACCAAGTGAGCCACCCAGGCGCCCCAATAGTGGTTCTTTTATTATACTCTTGAATGTATGGTCATGAGTTATTTAGAAAAACCAGTCTTTACAGGCTTCTTAGTGGCTTAGCATCTGATATCTGCTTCTCACTTGAGCATCAGTAACAGATCTTTCATCAAAAATCCCAGACTTATTTTTGAGATTCCTACAGTTTCTGGATGATAAAAGTCTCTGCTTTTGTACAAGAGGATTTTAAATAAACTAACGTTTTAAAGCGAGCATTTCCGGTTGGTAGAACATAATGTATGCATGTGTGTCCAGATATCTCTGTGCAGAAGTTTAATGTTGGTGAGCTCTCATTGGTGAATGTTGTAGAGAATCCGAGGAACGGTGGTGTTGGAGCCTCGTGCTTTATGTTTATATCTACTTGTGTGTATTTACATACATGCCCACATGTATGGGCACCTAACTACCCACATAACGTACGCCCAAATAAATACATATACACAGCATACACACATTCTTCATATGGTTTCTCTTTGTCTGAATTAACTGCTTTCAAACTATCGTTTTGATGTGCCAGATAGAGTTTTGTTTGGCTTCTGGGTGTTTCCCTCCAGGGAGGATGACATCCACAATTATTCCCAGTTTCTGGAGGCAGCAGAATGCTCCAAATACTCCTTAATAAGAGGTCATTGGAATGCCTTGCTCTTGTGGGATCACCTGTTTTTATGCTGATGATCTGGTACCTGATAGTGTTTTAAAATTCTCCCAAATTTGGCATTAATTTTTGAAGAAAAAATTCGGAAATGACAGCAACTGATTCCACAGATGCTCGTCTTTCCTCCTTCATCCCATCAGCAGAGGGCATTAGCTGCCTCAGCTCAGTCTTGCATCACTCAGTTCCATGGGAAAGAAAAAGATGACTATGACCTTGTCCTGCCCCTGAGGGGGAAACGGGGTGTGTGCGTGTGTGTGCGCACGTGTGTGCATGTGTACACACACACATAAATGCAACCGAAAGTTAAAAATGAAGTGCATTAGACACAGAGGATTGAGTAAATATGTAGACGCTCTCTTGGATGACTGCAGTGGACCCCTTCCTGGTCTTTCCGCTGGTGAAGTAGGTGGGAAAATATGTATGTGATATTAAGTCGGCCGATAATAAGAGTACCACTTACATAAAAGTTTGACAACCACTGCTTCAATGTTTCCCCCCAAGAACTGCCTCAGACTAGACCCCACAATCTCACGTTGTCTGTTCCAAAAGATGCCCAACTTGTCCCTGACCGCACACAGCAGCCTTTCGGGCACAAGCTGTGATCCTCCCAGCTTAGCATCTCTCGGCTGTCAGATAGATCGGCTGGAACCCACAGCCCTCTGTGTACCTTACAGGCTTCGGGACCTGCCCCCCAGCCCCGTCCCTCCCTGGCTACCACCCGCACCCCACCAATCACAGTCACTCTGGCTTCGGGATTCACAGTTCAAGACCAATGCAGCTGAACTCAGCCATACATTCTGAGAATGTACTGATGTGACTATTTAAGGAGTCTAAGAACTGTAGTAAAAAGTACTTTGTAAATCAGCTTTAGAGTTTTCAAAGTCCTCATTTATACAAAGATACGTAAAATGTGTTTGTCACTCAGCATTCACTGAGGAGTTCCGTGTTCTGTTGTGTTCCCGCTGTGGCAAGACTACTCAGAGTCCTATCAGCTTTCTCTGATAGGAGCTTTCCAGAGAGGGCATGGATATTAGTGATCGGTTGCTGTGTAACCAATGACCCCAGAATTGAGTTTAAAACCACGGGCTTTATCTCACACAGTTTTCCTGGGTTAGGAATCCAAGAGTGGCTTCACCGGGTGGTTTGGACTCAGGGTCGGTCATGAGGTTGCAGTCATCCGATCTCCGCCTGCCAGCTCACTGTCAAGGTTGTAGGGAGGCCTCGGTTCCCTACCACATGGACTTGGCCATCAGCTGCCTGTGCGTGCTCACAATGTGGCAGTCGCCTTCCCTGGAGCAAGCCATCTGAGAGAGAGATTGAGACCAAGCTAGACACAGCAGTCTTTTCTACCTCATCTCAGAAGGAACATACCAGCCCTTCTGCCGCATTCTGCTGATGGCAGAGACCAACCCTGGAACTGTGTAGGAGGGGTCTGAGCAAGGGTGGGAGCCCTGGGAGCTGGGAGGCACCGGGGCCTGTGGAGGCTGGCTGCCACACCTGTTCCAAGAGGGTCTCAGAAGGAAGGAAAGGGATGAAGTCGTTAGGGAGGGAATCTGCAGTTGAAACAACACAGTCCTGCTCACTTGTTTTTCTTTTAACCAAGACTCCTTTCCTTTTACTGTTCGCTTCTCTCCACCAGCCCTCATAGTGCAGATTATGAAACACTCAGGCATTTGCCTGCAGCGGTTACCTCCTCCCAGACAGGGAAGCTCCTATAACTCACAATCACACAAAAAAGAGGCCAGTATTATTAATAAGGGCTCCCAGCCTTGCTGTCTCATTTCTTTTAAACCTGAGGCATGTGGGTGCTGCTTATTTTCTGGGTGTAAATAAACACAAAGCTTGGTTATTACTGGAACCATTCTAGAAGAGTGAAAATTGCCAGGAACCTGGGTCACTTGGGGAACTGAATTTTCTGGTTGCTGCAGTTTCCAAGGGAGCTCTTCCAGATCTGTTTGCCAGTGAATCGTCCCATGTAGACTGAGAGTCTCCCGCCTTCCAAAGCTTAGTTGACTTCGTTGGTGAGTGACCAGGGAGTGGGACCCTGGGGCCCTTCGCTTAACGTGACTTGGGTGTCTTTGTGATCTTCAGGCAGGTTCCAGCAGTAGCCCAGGGCAGAGAGTGTGTGTCATCGATGAGATTGGGAAGATGGAGCTCTTCAGTCAGCCTTTCATCCAGGCCGTTCGTCAGACGCTGTGCACCCCAGGGACTGTAGTCCTGGGCACGATCCCGATACCTAAGGGAAAACCGCTGGCCCTCGTGGAGGAAATCAGAAACAGAAAGGACATTCAGGTGTTCAGTGTGAGTACAGCTGGTCCCCTGTGCCTATAAAAAAGGAGCAGGTGACCTCAAACAGCGGGGTGGCTTTGAAGCGTACCTTTGCTTTGAATTACCGTTTTTCCCCCTTGGAGGCTAGATCCAGGTGAGTCTGATTTTCTAGGCATTTATAGAACTAAGTTTTGCCTGTGCTCGGTGAAAAAACACACTTCCCTGCATCCACGGCTTTCAGCTGCTAGGCCGGAGCCCGGGCCAATAGAACGGTGGACGAGGGTGGAGATGTCCCGCCTGCACTGGTCAGTGCCCTAGCTAGCAGCCACCTGTGACTACTTCTGTTCAAATACCAGAAAAACTTCCTGTCTCCGGTCACTCTGCCCTCGCGGACAGCACAGCTGCGGAGCGTGTCAGGCAAAGTGATGTCCACGGAACAGCCGTGGGGGCATCATGCGGGGGTCCGTGAGCGGCGCAGAGCTGTAGGCGCGCCCGGACCCCACGAGTCAGACCCGGGGCCTGGGCCCAGGGTGTGCTTTCGCGAGCTCGCAGGTGGTTGTCATGTGCTCGTCGGGGGCCTTGTGCGGTAGAGCACGGGTGCGCGAGGCCCGGCTCTGTCCTACCAGCCAGTGGCTGTGGCCGAGTGAGCGCAGGAGCCTCTGATGGTGCCACGGGCACTTCGCCCACATACATGGTTTTCCTTCCCCCTCGTCTCTCTGGGTCCTTCTCAGCTAACTGTCTCGCCCTGCGCCCCCTCTGCGTGTGTCAGTGAGGGAGCCGTGTTCCCGGCTGAGCTCTGCCCGCCCCCACCCCCACCCCCAGGGTAACCGCTCACAGGCCCGGCGAGGCCTCGTGACCGGGTCCGGCTGGTCCCCACCCCCCCGGGAGCGTACAGCGCGCACTTGCCGGCTCGCCGGCCCCGTGGGACGTCCCCGTGTCGTCACCGCAGTAGCCAGGGGTACTCCGGCGGCAGTAAACCGCTGTTAGGGTTGGAGCAGCTGGACTTGGACAACTTCGTGCCTGCCTTCCTTCATTTAGTCAGTAGTCACTGAGCAGCGCCTTGTGCTAAGTCGTGATGCTGAACAAGACCGGCCAGGCCCGCGCCCTCCGGAGCGCACCGTCTAGTAGGAGCTCGGCCACAGCACGTACTGACAAGGGCCATGTGGTCGCTGGGCTGGAGGCGGGTGGGGCAGGGAGGTCTCTCCGCGGAGCTGCCCGGTGCGCTGAGAGCCCTGCAAGGTCACGTGCTCAGTGACGTCCTCCAAGTCCGTGGGGCCCCGGTCTGCAGAGTTTCATGGTGCTCCTTCGGTCTCTTACTGTACGGGGCCTCCAGGTTAGAGTTTTGGGTTGGGATTCTAGAGTTTCTGTGGAAGTAGGGGCAGTGAATAGTGAGAGAGGGTGAAAGACCACTGGTCTTCAGGCCGGCCACTTTAAACTCCGGACACCGGCCGTCCCTGCAACCCAGTGTCGTCTCCAAGTCCTAGATGGGATTGAGAGGGCGCGGCTGGTGTGTCTAGGAGAAAACGTTGTATCTTAAGATAATACCACATTTTCTCCTCGCTGAGACTGGAAATTATTCTCCGGGCAAGGTAAGCATTACTCCTAATGATGTGTAAATAAATTGATTAGCTTTGGGTTAATTATGTAAGAGATAGGGGCTCACGTACCCGGTTATTCTTGTCTTTCCTGTGTTCCTTTAGGGCTTGTGTGAGCTTTCTGTTCCCGTTTTACACATGAAGAATCTCATTTTCCTTATCTGCAAATTTAGGGGTTGGATTAGATATTTCCTGGTCCTTTCCCTTTCTCAGATGCAGTGAAGTTCTCTGAACCCCTGTTTGAGAGCATCCTGTGCATCCAGCACTTAGTCCAGAGGCACACGTGAAGCATGTTCCCTCCTCTGGAGAAAAGTAGGTGATGTGACAGTCAAAATCTGGAGGCAGAGAAGGGAGAGAATTCTGTAGGGAGAGATGGCCCGAAGGACGTGGTTCTTGGGTGGGTTTTGAAGGAGGAAGTGGAGAAAAGAAGGAAGAACATTCCAGGTGAGGAAATAATTTATGTAAAGTGGGGAAGGCCGCCTCCCCTTGTGGCAACTGAGCATGTTAGGACAGGGAGGTGGGACTGAACTCATGGGGGAAAAAGGATTCCACTGAGTTACTCCTGTTACCTAGACTTATTCTTAATAGCATCACGTAAACAGAGCATTGCTTTTTAGGAAAAAAACCTCAGAACGCTTCCTGTTCTAGATAAGATGGAATAGATACACTTCTCCCTATTCCTCCTATTAGGTATAGCTGAAAACCTTGGACATTACATATAAAACAAACATAAGGAGGCCTGAAGGGTGGAAAGAAGGCAGCACACCGGCTCGGAGGCTCAGCCAGGGGACAACACAACAGACACAACTGAAAATCTCTTGTCCTACCAGGAACCAGGAGAAGCAACTTAATTGAAACAAACATCAACATGTGCCAACAGCAAGATGACGGATATGTTGGAATTATAGGGCAGAGACTTTAAAACAGCTGTGACGAAAATGCTTCAGTGATCAATTGCAAACACACTGGAAACAAATGAAAAATAGAGTGTCCATTTTAGCAAAGATATGAAGATATAAAGAAGAATCAAACAAAAATTTTAGAACTGTAACATATAATAACTGAATGAGAAAGTCTCTGGAAGGAGTCCCCAGGAGAATGGAGACAACAAAGGAAAGAATCGGTAAACTTGAAGGTAGAACAATAGAAATTGCCCAACAAAAAGCAGACTTTGGGGGGCGGGGTGGACAGAGCTCAGGGACTTGCGGTACTATAATAAAAGATCTAACATTCATGTCATTGGAGGATGGTCTTGATAATTTAGAAACTTCTATCATGGTGCGGGTATGAGTATTGACAGTCACATTCCTGAAAATTTTTCTCTTTCGAAAGTTTGGTTAATTTTTTTTGTCATGTCTTGTAGAATTTACTGGTCACTACGTGTGGCTGCTGAAAAATGTTTTCAATTTATTTCACATTTGCTTGTTTGAGCGTAGTATGTTTAATGCTGTAGAGGCAAGAGATAAAGACCTTCATGGATCAAGATTACTAGAAAGAGCTGTGTGCACTGTTTCCCTGGTTCTGTAGCAACATGAAGAAAATATCCCTGCTGGTCACTTCCTACCTCACGCATGCGCGCGTGCGCATGTGAACACACATACATATGAGTTTCGTGGTCATAGTGGCATTTAGAAAGCATATTTCATTTGATTTCCTTTGAAATATCTGCTTGATGGGAATGCTGGTGAATGTTATCTGCCGAGGGCACAGAAGAGACAGCTGGAGACTGGAGTGTTGACTTCAATGCCAGTGTGGCCACCAGGCACTGAGCACCTGGACTGAGGTGCTGTGCTCAGTCCTGTAGATCACCAGGGCTTGTAGACGTCACAGTACCTGCTGAGCTATATCATGTCATCTTCATTTTATCAGTGAGAGGCTGCATAGCGTACCCAGGGTCATCGGCCAGGAGGTGTCACGGCTAGGTTTCAAACTTCCAACTGTCTGCCTACGAAGCCTGAGCGTTAGCACAATCCTGCTGTACGGTTTCCTTCGGTGATAGGGATGATTCAGATGATTTTGTGAACAAAAATCTCAGATTCCTAGAAATTATTTGGTTTTTCTACTTTATGTAATGTTACTACAACTAAAATCTACTCCACTGTCCTGAATTCAGAGTCCTTTATACTTGTTTTTTTTCCCAAAAAGCAGTTTTTATGCTTTTAATTTTTGTGCATTGCAAGATCACAAGAGTAACAGGAGCTAGGTCCCGATTTCCTTCCAGTTTGGGAATTCTTAGACCTCTGCTTACTCATTCCTGCCATGGGTTTTTTCATCAAGCAGGGCATAAAGCATTTTTATCTCACCAGGAATTCGATGCTGTCTTCTGGGTCCCTGGACTCCTGTAGATACAGGAGTGAGAGAAGGTCTGTTAAGCGCTGGTTCAAAAGCCAGTAGGCAGGATGTTTCTAGAAACTGACAAGCAAGCTGATCCTAAAATTCATGTGGAGATGCAAAGGACCCAACTGAAACAATCTTGGGAAAGAACAGTGTTGGAAGACTCCTACCTACTTCCCGACTTCAGAACTCATTACAAAGCTACAGTGGTCGAGACTGCATAGTACTGGCCGAAGGTTAGACACAGGTGGAAAAGAACTGAAAGTCCCGAAATAAACCCTTACATCTAAGATCAGTTGATTTTCGACAAGTGTGCCAGGACAACTTAATGAGGAAAGAATAGTTTTTTAGTAAATGGTGTTGGGAAACTGGGTATCGACATGCAAAAGAGGGAAGCTGGACCCTTACATTGTTCATATACCAGAATTAACTCAAAGTAGATCCTAGGCCTAAATTTAAGAGCTAAACTCTACAGCTCCTTTTTTTTTTTTTTTATCTCTTTGAGAGAGACAGAGAGCGTGTGTGTGCAGGGAGGGGCAGAGGGAGAGAAGCAGACTCCACTAAACTCTACAACTCTTAGAAGAAAATACAGGAGTAAATCTTTGTAAACTTGGGTCAGGCAAAGTCTTACTTGATACAACACGAAAGTAATTCTTGGTTTGGAAACTTTAACCTTCACGGAAAAAATAGAGCTAGAGGGATTGGATTCAGGAATAATCCTATTTTTAGGTTCAATAAAGACACAACATGAAACAGGTTAGTAATAACTTTTGATATGTGTTAACTTATAACGAGCATTGTCCAATTTCTTTCCGTAATCCAGTGCTTATTAGGAACTTGTCAGGGTCCTTCTCACAGTTTCAAGGAAAATATGTGGTTTCATTTTGCTTTCTTGCATGTAGTATGTCTAGACCCTTAGGGGCATTTTTTCCTGCCTGTTCCTGTGTCCAGATAGTCACAGCTTCCCTGATGTCCTGGTGCCCGGGTTGTTGACTGGGACCTCTCAGGCCCTCCCGTAGCCTCTGCAGGCAGCACAGAGCAGGTTGGATGCTTGAGATGGTCAGCGTCTTCATAATCTTTTACCACTCAGCTATATTTCAAAGACCCTCCTCAGCTTAGAATTCAATAAACATTTACTGGGCACCGCCTGTGTACCAGACACAGGGTGAATGAGATGCCCCGATCCCCACGGAAGTCAGGGTCTAAGTGTCACCAGGTCACCAAGGGCCAGGCAGGGGCTCAGCTTTCACTGGGCTTCCCGTCTTTCTCTGGAGGCCGCAGTGCAGAGCGGAGGGTGGACCAGCTTCCTTCCCGCAGTCCTCCTTACCTTGTTCAGTCCTCCTTGCCTTGTTTGCTTCTGCATCCGGAGCCCTCGCCTGGCCAGCCTCTCGGGAAGGACTTTTTGCAAAATCAAATCCTGGTGGTTGACTACAAGACGGGGCTTGTGTATGCCGGGAAAGGCCCCCGAGGGGGACAGGTGATGCTCTCCTCGCTCTCGCATTTGAGCTTGGCTTCGGTTTACAGGGAGCGTCATGATGAACACCGTCGACAGTTTCACATAGACCTCTTACTGCGTAATTCTCAGAAATCATCTTAGGGAAATCAAAGGGGGGGTAGCCAAATATTAATGTAGTTACGCATTAATTTTTTTTTAAAAGATTTTATTTATTTATTTGACACAGAGAGACACAGCGAGAGAGGGAACACAAGCAGGGGGAGTGGGAGAGGGAGAAGCAGGCTTCCCACTGAGCAGGGAGCCCGATGCGGGGCTCGATCCCAGGACCCTGGGACCATGACCTGAGCCGAAGGCAGTCGCTTAACGACTGAGCCACCCAGGCGCCCCGCTTTCATTAATTTTTAACATGAAAACATTCCCAAGATGTATCTTTTCCAGGTGTTATTTTTCCTGTGGAAGCAAGGCTTGGCGAGCGCCTCAGCGTGTGGGATGCCCTGCCGCTGCCCTGGGCACCCTTAGCTCCCAGCGGCGGGTGGGGGGCTCGCTCCCAGCGGGTGGGAGAGAGGAGGCGTGTCTCGCTCGTGGGCTGGGTCCTGAGAGCAGGGCTGCCCCATGATCGTCACGGTGCCGATGGAGAGGACAGGGCGTTTCCCAGGGACACGGGATGGTGCCAGCATGTAAGCGCTCCTCGGGGCTCCTTTCAATGAGCTCTGCAGCCCCGCGCCTGTGAAATCCGGCACCTCCACCAGCTCCTCCTTCATAAATGTGACCGTTCCGGAGGAAGTGGCCCCAGACGCCTCTCATCTGGGAATCCCCCCTTCGAGGCACACAGTAAACTCACAGACCCTGAGGGCGGAGCCTGGTGTCATTCCTGGTGAGGTCAGGGGGCAGGAAAGGGAACGAGTGGCCCGAGTGGCCCGCCTGCACTCTGCTGCTAAAGGCATGAGACCCCTGTTGCTGTCGCCCGCCTGCCTCCCGCTCTCCTCCCTTCCCATCAGCGCACTTCCTTGAAAGCAAACAGCAGAAAGGGACTTGGGCTAAGTTGAGCACGCACAGCAACAAAGAGCCTTCCCGGGCTGTGCGGCGGTTTCTCATCAAGCTGGAGGCGAAGCTGATGGTCCTAGTGTCGGTGGGACCAGAGCTACTGGGGAGCGACGGCGAGGACAGGTGCACCACGTCCTTGGACAGATGGGAGGGGGGCCCAGCCGTTGGCTGCTCAGCTCACTCCTTTCAGGATTCGGGTGCTCTGGATCTTCAGGGCCCAGCCTGCAGTCCCGGACCCAGAGCTAGTTTGCTAGACTCTCGTCTCCCAGAGGGAGGTCAGAGCGCTCTTGGAGGGAGGGCGAGTGGATGTGGGGGAGCCGGGGGGGGCGAAGCCCACTATGCATCTCCTCATCAGACGTTCGCCCAGCACGCGGTGGGCAGACAGGCCCATCTGTCCTCTCAGGGCCCACCGGCACTGACCACTGGCTTGGTAGATGCACTCACTTCGTCTTTGCAGGATTCTTTGCTTGGGTCCTTCTCAGGCATAACCGGCGTGGAAGCCTTTCCTCACCCCGCCCCGTCCCGGCTCCTTTGCGCCTCCGCAGACTTTCTCTCCCGGACCCTTGACCATCGGTGTTCTCACTGGCCTTGTCTGTCCCTCTGTTCTGCTCTGCAGGCTCCTTATGGAGTCCTCCCTCTGTCCCCGGCACCTTGCTCAGTTTCTGGTTGACACCCCATCAATGTTGAACGGGTGAATGTTGGGGAGGCCCAGCAGGAAGGCCCTGCCCTTACTTGGGGGACCGCCCACCATCCAAAGCCCCGGGTGGCGTCTGAACGCTTCCCTTGTACTCGTAAAGAAAAATAAAAACGGATCACCGGGTAAAGCTTCCACAGTCCAAGCTGTCCCTTTGCAGAAGCTGGGGCTGGGATCCCACTGGACCTGGCCTGCCTGCAGCGTACCCGCGAGCTGGGCTTCCTCCCTCGGTCCCGAAACCCGCCTCCCCCTCTCTGGGCCTTCGGGGCTCTTCCCGGAGAATACTGCCTAGCAGAGGATTGAGGAAAAGGAAAGGACTCTGAAGCCTGCTCTCTTGCTTCTCCCCGCAGGTCACCAAGGAGAACAGAAACCACCTTTTGCCAGATATTGTGGCGTGTGTGCAGAGCGGCTGGAAGTGAAGACCGTTCGAGCCCCTGCAGTGTGCGCTTGAAGAAACGTGCTGCTTCGCGCCGAGCCTGATCAGTGCCCCGCCTGTCAAGGATTTATGCCTTCGGGCTTACGAAACCTGATGGGCTTTTCCAGAGAAAGCCCGACAGCTGTTCTCCATGAAATGTTTAAAAGATCAAATTAGCCTGAAGGCTGGATTGGCGCGACAAGATGAACAATCCGCTGTGGCTTATTTATGCCGAGAGGTTTTTGTTTATTTCCTCTTGCAGTTGTGCGTATGATTTCGGTAAATTATGAAATGAGAAATGGTTTTCAAGAGTATTAGATGGAACTTGCCCCCATCGAAGTTAATACGTGTGTTCCGGGGAAGGGGGAGAAGGGCGTTCGCTACCTAATCGATTTTGCATGTTATGAAAATTAAGCCCCTCTCCAGGTGCTTCAGTTCACGGGGATATGAGTTACTCGGTGTTTTGAAAATGGTTACTTCAGAAAAAAGCCATTTAAGTCCTCCCCAGCTATCTCATTGTTTATTTGATTGCTTATTGCTTAATAAAAAGAAACTAAATGCTGTGGTTGCAAACACGTGAGCCCTGTGTGCTTTTCGGTCATTTTGGGGGAAGATCTATGAATTTCCAGGATATTTTAGCAACGAGCCTTAGCTCCAAACCCAGCTGGCATTCATGCCAGGCATGCCCCCTTCTGTCCCCGAGGCCCAGTCTAGGCGTGTGGAGCCTAGACTAGGGTGTCCCATGAGCCGGGCGCTGGGCGCACTGCCCGGGAAGCACTTGCGTCTCAGAGCCAGGATGGCGGTCGGGAGCCCGGGACGGGCTCCTTTGGTCCGTCGTTCCCCCAAGGGAACCTCCTGAAGCTTGGTGTGGATTTGCCAAGCCTTTGAGGGGTCACATCTGAAGGGCCTCCTAGATGATGAACTAATCTCATACGAAGGGTGCCTGGTCCAGTGTGGGGAAGGGGGCATGCCCTGTGCCCCTGTCCCCGCCCGGGTGGGTTGTTCAGGGAGACCGAGCTCATGACGTCCGACGGGCTGGTGTGACTTCTGCAGGCTCCCTGGGACCGAAGGAGCACTGCATGCAGGTGTGGTCTGGGAGCCCGGCCCCTGCATCAAGCCTACTCTCGTCCAAAGAGGAGCCCCTCTCGGCCTCAGGTGACCTGAGAAAGGGGACAGGCCGGGGGCAAGTATCGCCTGTGTGCCCCTGAAGACAGAGCCAGCCTCAGGCCTGGTGCAGCTGCTCTGCCCTGGCTGAAGGGAGCCCCTCGGATGGCGCCGTTACCGGCCTCCAGCGGCGCAGGCTCCTGGCAGCCATCCGCTGAGCGGGACAGATTCGGGGCGGCCCCCACCATGCACGCGGCCTTGCGAGCTCCTGCGTGCTCGCTAATGGTAAAGAAACACGTGCTTTTAGTGGCAGACAGAGAGTTTGAACCAAGTCCCTGTGGCCCCAAAGCCCTTGCTCTTTCTACTCCTCCCACTGTGTTGATGCTTTCTGTCCTTTTCAGCGCATGTGCCCCCAGATCTCAGCGTTGACATTTAGCTGTGATAAACCGAAGCAGCTGTTGGCTGGAAGAGCATGGAGTGTTCGCTATGGCAGGGTCCTTAAATTATTACTGTATTACTTGGTCAAACGGGATGATCAGGGGCATGTACGAAGGTATCCGATGCCATCCCTCTATTTTAAGAAATGACGTCTACTAAAGGATAATGTTATGGTCTGAATGTTTGTGTCCCCCACAAATTCAAATGTTGAACTCTGACCCCCGGTGTGATGGTGTTAGGTGGGGCCTTTGGGAGGGGATGCGGTCATGAGGGTGGAGCCCTCCGGAATGGAATCACTGCCCTTATGGAAGAAACCCCAGAGGGCTCTCTCCCCTCGGCCCTGTGAGGTCATGGCGGGAAGATGGGTGGGGGGGTCGGTGAACCCGGAAGCAGGCCCTCACCAGACACCGAATCTGCTGGCGCCTTGATCTTGGGCTTCCCAGCCTCCAGAACCATGAGAAGTAAGTGCTGTTTAAGCCCCCTCGTCTGTGGTATGAAATAGGATGAATTCACAAATAACTCTGACTCAGGGCCTCAGAAAGGATGGGCTTTCTGCTGAGGTTTAAAGGAGGAAGAGGCGGAGCCAGGCCAGGACCAGAGGAGGAGCCAAGCGCACATCCAACCATCCCTGCGGGAGCCGCTCCCTGACGTGAGGCGCTCTCGGAGAGGAAGGGGTGTGGTGGCAAGGACAGGCTGACGTCAGCAGTTCTCTTTTTTTTTTTTTTTAAAGATTTTATTTATTTATTTGAGAGAGAGAGAGAGAGCACATGAGAGGGGGGAGGGCCAGAGGGAGAAGCAGACTCCCCGCTGAGCAGGGAGCCCGATGTGGGACTCGATCCCGGGACTCCAGGATCATGACCTGAGCCGAAGGCAGTCGCTTAACCAACTGAGCCACCCAGGCGCCCCTCAAAGTGCTTTTTTGGAAAAGGAAAGACAATATATATTTTTTCTTTTTTTTTTTTTAAAGATTTTATTTATTTATTTGAGAGAGAGAATGAGAGAGAGAGAGAGAGCAAGAGAGGGGGGAGGGTCAGAGGGAGAAGCAGACTCCCTGCCGAGCAGGGAGCCTGATGCGGGACTCGATCCAGGGACTCCAGGATCATGACCTGAGCCGAAGGCAGTCGCTTAACCAACTGAGCCACCCAGGCGCCCCGAGCAGTTCTCATTTATTCCTGAGTTTGAAATGCCTACTCTCCAGGCAAACCCAGACACTTAGCAGACAGTTGGGTCCGAGGCCAACTGGAAGGAAGAATTCACTTTGGAAAGCGCGAGATGGACATATGCACTGCTGTATGACGAACTTAAGCTGGAATAACATGGCTGGATGGCACAGAGCAGAACTGATTTGGAGAATGAGTCTACGAGATCCTTCCTTCCTCTTCCCCCGGAGCGGACTGTACCCCCAGCCACTTACCACACACGTTTAGAAAACGATTTCTTTTTACCTCCGAATAAGCACAAGTGCAGGGATGGACAAGTTTTCAAATGCAAAGACTGTCATCTGAGTGTCATGGCTGATGTACATGGCTCACTCCATTCCCAGTCCTCAAGTCATCAGGCGCAAGGTGGGGGGCGACGGTGGCCCAGAAAACGTGGAATGGGCCTTTTTCCTCTTTCTCTTCCTGTCTGTCTCGGAGCTCATGAGGGTTGTGTCTGGGAAGATCGCACACGTGTGCGTGCATGCACGTTGGTGTCAGGTGCCATGTCCCTGGAGCATAATGACTTGGACGAAACCCCCAGGCAGTGGAGAAGGCCTAAGGGGCTGAGTATACAGGGTCTTCGCACTGCACACTTTACGGGCAAGGAGAAGCTGGAGCATCCAGTGATTTTAGAAAACTACTTGCCGAACAGATGGTCTCAGCACCCAGTGCAAAATTTAGAATCAATAATGCCAGATTAGCCCCATGATTTATATAAAACCAAGCACTACAGTTTTTAGATCATTTCTAGAGGAGAAACAATTTTGTTCCGTGTCCAAATGCAGAAAATAACTCTGCGGTTGTAGGCTGCAGCACGTTTAAATTGCCCCAGCAGGAGGTGTCACCTTAGGAATATTTCTTTTAAATGGGGGTGAATCCAGTCTTTTGCAAGGAACACCCTGATAAACAGCTGCCTGGCTGAAGATCAGATTAACAAGCTCGTGTGTGTGTGTGTGTGTGTGTGTGTGTGTGTGTGTGTTAGGGCACCTGGGTGGTTCAGTCGGTTAAATGTCCCAACTCTTGGTTTCGAATTGAGTCATGATCTTGTGGTCGTGGGATGGAGCCCCGATCAGGCTTCAGATTCTCTCCCTTCCCCTCTGCACCACCCCCACCACCCGCGCATGCGTCCTCTCAAAATAAAAACAAACAGGCTCACGTGTTGTAAATATAAGGTTCTTTACCACAATGTAGAGAAAAAGCGTGACTGCATTGCTGACAGGCATGCGGGTCCAGAAGCGCATCCAACCCCATCTTTCCCTTTGGGGGCACACACACCCGTGCACGTGTGTGTGTGTGTGTGTGTGTGTGTACGCACTCCCAGCATGCACACCCAAGATGGTTTTACTCTCTCAGACAGTGCAGACTTGTATTCGGATCGGAGGACTTGGGCCTTACTGTTGTTGACAAACCATGACCGTCCTTGTCTGCTTCCTTTGCACTGAGATGACCCAGATAAGCCATCGGGTCATTGATTAGAGAAGCAGCTCAGGAATCTCGAGCGGAGTGACATGCATCCAGAGCACTTTGGCTTCTCATCTGCATTCCTGTTTCTCGACCTATTCGTTTTCCAGCTCTGCCAGGAGATCCATTTTCTGTGGAACGCAGTGGCTTTCTGGGTTTCTTACTTCTGGGTGCCCAAGAGGGTGGTCAGCCCGAAACAGGCTGACTTAATTCAAGGAGATGCCCTTTGTGGGGAGGTCACGCTCACAGCTCAGGGCCGGTCCTTAGGGCTTGGCTATAAAGTTGCCCAAGAGGATTTCAGGGACTGCCAGCCAAGTTTGGTTTGGCCGACTTAGAGAACTGCCATGAGGTTCTATCAGCTTCTCATTAGACAGACACCTGCATTTCAATCAATAATAACCAACTTTGCATCTCCAGGGATGGCTGATTTGAGAATGATGCACAGTGTCTCTGATTACAGAGCCCACCTATTATTATTAATTGGCAATCCTTACTTTGAAAAAAAATTACCATCTGCTTCCAGGGGGAAAGAAATTCTCGGCTGTGCCCTCCCCTAGCCCCCACACTTCAAATCCTAGATACCTTGAAGAAAGTCGTGGGACTATCCCCAAAATGACTTACTTCTAGCTCTTGTCTTTCCAGAAGGGATGGTTCACCAGGTCAGTGATGCTCTTCTTCATAGACTGTGTTTCAGGACCCCCTCACCCTCCCGTACATCCACAAGAAGTCAGGTTTCTGCTTTCCCCAGTGACAGGCTTCACTTGGGGAAGGTCCCAGAATTTGCCCAAACGCCATGCTCACAGTAAAGGATACCCCAGAACTCACACAACCGGACACAGCCATAACTGTAAACATTTTAATTCCCCAAACAAAGGTGTGTGCGAGTGTTCTATGACACGGGAAGGATGGCTTGGCTCGGAAAACAAGCGAACATTCCTGCGAGTGGACAGGCGCGCCGGGCGAGACAGGCCTGACTCATGGGGAGCGTCATGTGAGTCCGGATGGCTTTCCACGCTCCCACAGGACTCGATGTCTACACTCGGGTCACTAGTAGAGTGTAGACATGACTGCATGCACTACCACGTTTCCGTAAAGCTGCCGTTGGCTTATACTTAACATCTGCATAAATGTGCTAGAGGAGGTGAGGTTTTCTTTACGCGGCGATGGAACCCCACTGCGTCTTGAACGTGGTTTACGGAAATGTCCAAAATGCCAATCGGTTAACATGCAGTTGTCTTATTTTCTTCAGGGCAGGAAAGAGGGACTTAGGCGCTCTATTTACTCTAGCTGTTTTAAGCTGTTACCTGGCTTTTGTTAGAATTTTCAAATTCTGGAAGTTGTGCGTGCCACGCCCGGGAGCTCTGGGGGTGGGGGGGGCGGGGAGGGGAGGGAGGTGTGCTGTCACGTGTTCCATCGCCATGGGAGACGTCCTTCGAGAACCTGAGGTAGCGTCCCTCGGGTTGCTAGAGCGGCTCTCACGGCTGCAGAGCAGGGCCCCCCTCCAGCCCCTGCCCCTACTGCTCCTCCGAAGCACTCTGCTGGGAGGCCGTGTCGTCCAGGCCCATGTCCTCCTGGCTGGCTCTCCTGCACAGCAGTGCCCCGTTCTCTGCCACGGGCCCAGCCGGACGGCGGTCGCGACGCTGCCCCTGCTCGGTGGCCTCGGTGGCCTCGGTGGCCTCGGTGGGTTCACACGGCTCAGAGAAGTGCTTGAGAGAGAGAGAAGCAGGGAGCCTCAGCAAACATGTAAGGCCGCTTCTGACCACCAGCGGCCGCCGCGGGGGTGGCCTACCCCGCCCGCCCGTGTGGCAGGGGGTCTGAGGGCCGGTGTGGGGGCCCGCGGGGCTGGCCTCCGCCGAAAGGATGGAGGCCACGCGTGTACCGTGCCGGGGTGGGTTGGGGGCTCTGAACCCGGGGACCTTCCCCCAGGTGATGGACATGCCCTCGGGTAAGAGGTCACTGTGTGCCTGCACGTCCTGGGGTCCGGCCAGTGCCCCCCAAACACACGGACGCATTGACCCCTGGCGGAAACCCTAAGTCCGGCAGGCTGGTGCCCCAACAGTAATCCCGGTGCTCAGAGTGCCAGGGACCCTATTGTCCTGCGGGAACTTGCCAGAATCCCAGACGCACACCCACAGATGGTATCTTAAACAGACTGGCGGGGGCGGGGGGAGGACGAGAAATGTGTGTGATTTTGTGCATTTTTTTCTGAGGAAATGGAAACACAGAGGGAAGTTTGTTTAGACGTGTAGTTACCTAATTAACCTAGCTAAAGCTCCTGAGGGCAGCAGCCTGCTTGCCCTTGGCCCCTGCCTGTGGAGCTTCCCCCGGGGGTGTGGCCCCCATCCTCCACCTCCAAGTAACCCACCCCGAACCGAAGCCGGGCAGGCGGTGACCCTCGTGCTCTGCAAAGAGCGTCAGCCTCTGGCTGGAGAAGGTGTGAGCCTGCAGAAGGGGCACGCGACACCTCCGGTGTGACACCCACGTATGCCTGGTGCCTCCCGGTCTCTCCCTCCCAACCGAAGGGAAGGGCTGGGGGTCTCTTTACTTCCTTCTTTCCTTCCTCTCTGACGAAGCTCAAGTGTGACCCAACATCAGCTAGCATGGAGCTCTGCATAAGTCACCGTGTAGTTAGGGGAAGGCCTTCCACCTGTCTCTTTCTGAGGTTCACATACACACAAGCGGGAGGACGCCTGGCAGTTGGAAATCTGGCGCTAGGAATCTGCGAGCATCTAACTCCAGGGCTGGCGTGAGTCCTCTCCTGTCCCTCAGGCCAGGGTGATATGAAAAGAGCCTGAAGCAGAACAGGCTCCTGCTCTGTGGATCTGCAGAGAACATTCCCGCTCCCCTCCCCGGTTCAGGGATCGGGGTAGCAGTTCTGCTGAGCGTGGGCATCGGGCACCCGCCAGTACCGCCCACTGTGACCCGGGCCCCTACGGGACGTGCGCTGCATACTTGTCTGCCTCTGCGCACAGCCAGGACACCCCCTGTCTAGCGCTACCCGGCGTGTGTCACTCAGGGAACCCCGTGGACGAGGCGATGAGAGTCTACAGGCGGCCGGACGGCCGGGCGTCAGGCCAGAGGCCCGCACACCTGCCTTGGCCCCCGCCGGCCGAGCCCCTTACCCGTGTGGCCTGGCTGGCGGCCCTGGCCGAGGGGCCCATGACGATGCTGACGCTGCTGGACGACTGGGTGTCGCTGGTGTTGCCCCCCTCCGCAGCAGAGAGTCCAGAAATGACCAGGGCACTGGAGAAGCTCCTCTTGCCGAAGAGGAAGCTCAGGGTCGAGCTGGTGGACGAGCCCAGGCTGGACCTGATCAGCGCCTCGGCCCGCTCGCGGACGCTCAGGTGGCCCATGGTGGTGACGGGCGGGGGCTGCGAGTGCAGGGACGCGGCCGAGGCGTGTAGGGAGAGCCGGCTGCCTGAGAGCCTCTGGGCCAACTCGTGGACCGACGTGGACGTCTGCAGGAAGGCCTGGTGGCTTTCTAGGATCGGGCCGGACGAGCTCAGCGTGACCGGCCTTTGGCATAACGCCCCAGGGGCCTGGACAGACTGACTCCTTCTGCCTTTAGAAGAGAGCAGAACAGGTTGCCACAGCAGAGGGGAGAAGGAGCCTACCCATGCAGCTCTGTAGGGAAGCAGGGGGAGGAAAGCGTGCGCTCGCTAGAATGCTCGGTCGCATAACTGAAGTATCGGGAATCACCAGGCTCTAATGTTCAGCTATGACTTTGAAGGGAGCGGTCAGTGAGGTCACAGTTCTAGCAAGTGCCTTATCGACGTGTCTCCTAAAGCTTCCACAATTAGGCATTCCATCGGTAAGAATACAGGGGGTGCAGGGGTGAGCCCCTGGGCACTGTCCCGTGCATTTTCTCACGTTCAACCTCAGCCCAAATGATTAATTGTGCATCTGGCGATTCTAATTTACTTACGTGTGTCTAAAGGAGGTCCCGAGAATTGACATGTCCTTGAGAGAGAACTCTTTAGGGAACATGCGTTAATATGGGGATTCCAGGGGTCCCCTCCAGCCCCATTCCTCCCCGCCAGCGGCTTCTTGGCTGTAAGGGCCCTCTGCCTCATGTGGACCTTAGTGCGATGTGGATGCTGAGATGGTGGGGTGCCCGTTTCCACACAGGTGTCCCCACCCGATCTCTCCTGCCTCCTGCCTGCCCGCTGGGACCCCGGGGGGCGCCCCCCATGGTGCTGCTCACAGTCCCACAGGACAGGGATGAGTGTGGGCAGCCCCCTCCCCCGCCGGCACGGGGCTCTCACCGGGAGCTGGGGCCCATCTGGCCGATCCCTGCTGCAGAGCTAAGTTACTCTTACACAGGGAAACACGGGGAGGAAAGGGACCCTGACGAGTCACAATTAGCAGAGACGGTGATTTGTTAGTTTATCCAGAGTTCGACAAGGCCAAACATCTGTTTGTGATTTATACGGTAATGCTGATTGCTGTCCAAAAATACTCCACATTCATCCGCAAGTCGGTGATTTTGATGCTGGATCGCAGACCACCCGCGCTTGGTGGGGGAACTTCTCAGCTAATTCCAAAAACCAGGGGACAAAGACCCATCTGTATGTCAGAGGGGAATGGTCTATGTTCAAGGCAAGACAGGGGTACCTCCCCTCATTTCCTTGCTTCAGACTTTCTTGTTGCTCTCTGTTGTTATTGTGGTTCTTGATTTTTTTCTAAATTAATTTTGCAAGTGGAACGAGTAAGCAAGCCATGCAAATGCATTTGTGCTACCCAGGATCATTATTTGATAATTTAACTTACTTTGCCAATTACTTCATTATCAGATTATGAGTATTTCCCCGGAAAACCTCCTCAGAACCTGGGTTTTGGAAATACCAGAAAAATTACCCTTCTTGGTTCATTAGCCTGGCACCATTCTCTCATCTCAGATGGTTGTCTGGAAGGCCATGGTGCACATCCTCGCCAGCTGAAGGGTGGAGTCTTCCTCCCCAATCTGGGATTCAGATTAGCGAGGAATTCCTGACTGTTTTCGGCAAGGAGGTCACCAGCCTCTCCAATAGGGACCAGTCCCGTCCCAGCTGGGACATCTACTTTGTAGCGAGGCAAGAAGATGGTAGGCTGTCGGGCCAAAGTTGAGGCCATACGGTGAGTGCTGGGCACAGCAGGGCCAGCAGACGCACAGGGTGGCAGGCTGGGGACAGTGCTCCTGCCTGAGCAGGACCCCAGGCCCAGGATTGGGACGTGCAGCTGGGAAATGAGTCAAGGAACAGGTGCGGCCCCAGTCATGGGAGTTGAGCTTGGGCCGCATAAAGCAAGATCCCTTTCTTAGAATTTGGTTCACGTTCACCCTTCAGACGGTTCCATCATTGCTACCCGGCTCAGCTTCTCGGTCGTGCCCTTTCAGAGAGGCCAGCCCTCTTCCTCGACCCCCCGGGGGCCTCCCTCCCGCCCGGTACTGAGCGCATGGGTGGTCACTGTCTGCTTTGTGGTAGTGTGTGGTACGGGCCATTGCCCTCCTGGCCCCCTTGAAGTGACAATGACTGCATCGTCCCCACAGGTTCAGCACATGGACTGGCAGGAAGGGACAGCTGGGACCAGCCTGCAAAACTGACCTCACACTGAGCCTTAGAGCTTCTTAAATCCCCGATTAGGTGCAGAGTTAGCCCTGGGAACTTTAGCATGGGGACAGGGCTTCTTATCCTTGGCCATTAGAACCATTTGGGAAGCTTAGAAAATGCTGTGCCCTAGAGGCTGAGACCCCCGGGGTGTGCACCTGCAGGCTGCCCTTAGGCCCTCACTGTGCACGGGAGGGCGGCCTCTGGGGCGGGGAGCTGGGTCAGGGATTCTCCTGTTGTTCCAGGCCAAGGCCAGAGATCGGGGCACAGGAATCACCTCCCCTTGACTGGCGAACGGCCTTTAACGACCCCGCGCTGGCTGGGCAGGCTCCTGGCCTCCTTTCTGGGAGCTGTGGTCTCCACTCATGTGGGCACAGGGCTTTGATTCAGCTGCACGGAGGGAGAGGAAGCCAGAGAAGACACAGTCCCTTGGGGATGGGAAATGCTGGCCTGCTGGGCATGGTGGGTGGGTGGCTTCCCACCACTGGCTGCGACTCATGGAAAGATCTCAGCAGCAGGTCCGAGGGGCAGAGCCAGCCAGCCAGGTGGGGCTGCCGCTCCCCAAGAGCGGCTCCTTCTCGGGGCCTCCTGTCTTTGGGACCTTGGGGCTTCTGCACACAGGACCTCAGGAATGGAAAACGCTGTGCCCTGAGCCCTCTCTGAGCCAGAAACCCTCCCTGGGTGCCCATGCCATCCATATCGGCCAAAGAGGAGGTGGGTGGAAGGGGTCCCGGCCAGACCTTGGAGGCCCAGCTGGGTGTGCTCTCCCCCGGTGCCGCAGGCACTTGCGGGCACTTGCTGTTTACCAGGTGTAAGGGTACACAGCACGGAAGCCTCAGGAAGCTCTTGCCTTCCTGTGCTTTGGTCCCCCGAGTCCTGGGGCTCTGACATGGGGCTCACAAGACGGCGCGTGTTTCTAACTGCCAAGGGACGGGGAGAGAAGAGACAAGGGTCCTATCCTGTACTGCCCACAGGGAGCGAGCAGGTGCAAAGAACCTCCGCGGAAGGTGGCAAATAGCCCTGTATGGCTTCAACCACGTGGTAGTAAAAAAGAAGGTGACACTGAACTTTTCCAGGGGGCAGGAGGGAGAGGTGTCTGCGTCCTGAGTGTGGGAGAGGCAGGTTGTCCCTCTCGTGTACCCATTTTGGTCCTTTCTAGATTTCTTTTGAGAGACCCACTCTGCCAGGATGCCCCCAGATTTCCCCGCATCAGCCAGAGCTCAGCCGGGGTGGGGGGTGGAGAGGGGGGTGATCCCCGCCATCTCTTGTCTGGGACCCATGACCCCCAGCTTCCCTCAGCTCACTGGGCCCCCCTGGGAATGCTAATCCAAATGGTTGGAAAGGGTGGCCCCTCTGAAGCACTTGGACCCTTGAGCAGACCAGCTGGGGATCCTGGCTGCCTCCAGAGACACAGCCTGGATGCTCTAGGGGTGGTAGCCGCCTGTGGGAGACCAGGGATCTGGTCCTCAGCTGCCCTTTGGGGTCCCTCTTCTTCCCAGGACCGTGCCAGCTCCATGTGGCCAGAGTCCTGTCCCCAAGGCATCACCAGGAGTGTGTCCACAACTAGGGTTCCTGGAGAACTCCTGAAAGACGTAAAGCTCGGCCCTGGGGAGATTTGGGCAGGGGGCTTGGGGCACCAAGGACAAGCCGACAGGATCAGCAGCTCCTGGTGCCAGTGGTCTGGGCTGTGATGAACAGATGCTGGTTACGTGGCAATAGGACCCAGTGTCTAGCCCTAAGGGAAGCCTCAGTGACAGTGGTGGAATTCAGCTCTCAGAGTTTGGGGGGGGGGCATCCCGCTGAGTGGCCACCTAGCTGGCACTTTAGAGGGCCCTACACAGGTCCTCCTTCCGTCCACCTCCCCCCACAGGACCAGGGAGCCATGGGAACAAGGGACAAGCCGACCCGCTCCCACACACTCCTGCCTAGAGCCCTGTGCAGGGCGCCTGGCACTCAGGATTCAAGGCCCAGATCCGGAGCCTACATGGACCACTTGCCCAGGCTCCCCTCCCAGGGTGGATGCTGGGCCTTCCTGCGGCTGTCAGCAGGGTAGAGATGGGGCATGGTGTGGCTGGTGCTAACGTCTGCAGGCCTGGATAGGAGCACCCACGGAGCCCAAGGGCCCCTCTGCCCCTGCCCCATCTCACCCAGCCCAGGGGCGGCAGACAGCTCCCCGGCCCTGACCTGCTGGGGGCCTGCCTGCTGGAGCCTCTCCAAGTGGCATTTGATCAGAGGCTGAGTGAGGGGGTGAAGGCTGATGTGAACAGTCCAAAATGACACCCCTCCGGCGGCAAGGCGGAGACTTATGATCACGTGCCGCTGTCGGGGCTGGGAGCAGGGCCCGAGAGAGCAGGAGAGCAAGAGAGAGGTTCTTCCCGTGGTCGAAGCGGGGGTGGGCAGGCCTCGGGCCATGGCCCCTGCCCCTCCCAGCCCTCTGCCCCTCTGCAGGGGGCCACGCCCTCCTTCTGTAGGCCTGTCCACCTGTGGACACGGGGCAGGCCTGTGGGGACAGCAGGGACAAAAAGGAAGGCGGCTGGCTGCTGTCCCCAGAACTGGGTGTCTGCTTTGCCTGCTCGTGGGCCAGAAGGAGGGCTGGAGCAGGTGCAGGATGGTGGCTCCATCAGCTCGATCCTGGGCTTGGGGACAAGGGCGGCACTTGATGAGGTGACGCAGCGTCCCCAGGGCCAGAGTGACGGGACCATGCACGGTGGTTAGGATGGCAGGTTCTGGGCTCGTCTTGCCTGGGTCTGTCTGAATCCCCGCTGGGTGACTCTGGGCAGTGACTTAACTTCTCTGTGCCCTGTCTCCTCAGCTACAAGATGCGGACAGGGAGGGCCTCTCTCGTTGGGTCACGGTGAGGACCAGAGAATCTGCACTTGGAAAGCACGCAGGATGACACTGGGCAGCAGTGAGGGCTGGGGAACTGTTACTTGTTATTACGATTTATCACTGCTGCAGGGGTGCGCCTGATAGAACCCTGGCGGGCGGGCAGGTGGGCACACAACAGAGGGGACAGCAGCAAGGCAGATGGCTTCAAAGCCACTGGTGCTTGGCTGTGGGCTCCATCAAGCCCCTGAGCAAGACGGCAGCGGGTCTCAGAGCCTGAGGCAGCCTCGCGCTGCAGGTGGGGACTGGCGGTCACGTGTGCTGGGAGCCCAGGCCTGTGGCTGACGTCCCAGGCCCGCCTCGGTACAGTGTAGAGCACAGAAAGCCAGGAGTGACCTCGGTAAGAGCCGTTTTAAGAAGCAATAATGAAAAATTAACAGCTGGTCTGGGCTCTGGAAGATCCTGCTCCAACATCTGCCACAAAAATCTGTATGTGCTCCCAGCTGCAGGCCTCTGGCTGTGAATGGGAAGAACATTCACTACCCAGGGTGTCCGGGTCCTGAGGGGAGGGAGGGACACTAGGGACACTAGGGAGGGACACGTCTGCCAGGCCAAGCAGCGTTGGCCCCTTTTTACTCGTAAAAAAGGGAAGAGGCATCTCACGGGGTCCCAGGCTCGTCCAGCACACCGGCCTCCAACTCTTTAAGAGCTCGGGCCTCCTCCAGCCCAATCCCAGCCCCCTCCCCCGACTCCAGACTTTCTCTGGTGCAGACAAGTCACCTGGACAGACGTGCCAAGTGCGCAGGCATTTCTCCATTTGGAAGCTACCTTGCATTTTCCCATCTGGAAAATCGCTTCAGTGATTCTGAAACTTCACATTGCTCATGCAGCAATAACAAGTGTTAACGAAGCAGTAAGACACTCCCAGCCTGAGAGGGAGTCTGGAGCACTGAGGCCTCTGGCCAGGCAGGGGCTCTGCTCAGCCCTCAGGGCAGCTGGCTGCAGGCAGGAGCAGGTAACACCAGCCACTCTGCCCAGCTACCCATCTCCCTCTCTCTCCCTACCTACCTTCTTCTCTTCCTTCCTAGCTTCCATCTTTCCATCTCTCGGTCTCATCTATCTGTTCATCCATCAGTCACCTGCGTCTCTCTCTACCTCCCTATGTATCTGTATTATTCTACTATCAGCTTTCTTTCTTTCTTTTTTTCTTTCTTTCCTTCTTTCTTCATTTCTTTCTTTCTTTCTATCAGCTGTCTATCTATCTTCCGTCTTGCCCGTGTTTTCTGTAAATCCTGTTGCAGTTAAATCCTCAGGCTTGCCTAGGGCACTTCCAGGAGGCACAGACTGTCCCTTGCTAACTCACTGGGTGCAGAGCTGGCCCGTGGGACAGGCACACAGAGGCACTTAATGAAGGCTTCTGGACGGTGAGGAAGCACTGAGGCCAAAAGATGGAATCACTCACAGGTTGCAAAGCGCAAAGCCAAGCACTGATGTGCTGGCGGGAACCAGGACAGAGCATCTGCCTCTCCTGCATCCATCCACCTGGTATGTCCTCTGCGAGCCCTCAGTGTCAACTTTCCTAACCCAGCCGCCCCCTGTGGAGCAGGTTCTGGAACCTCATCCATCTGGGTGAGCCTAACTAGGTGGGCATTAGTTTAAAATTGATGTTAGACTTTAAACTCATCCCAAACGTGGACCAGTGCGCCTCCTCCATCCCATCTGCTGGCATCCCTTTTCCCCTCTTTTGTTACCCTCTGAAATGTCAGGTGTACGTGGGGGAGGTGGGAACCAGAGAGAAGCAGGAATGGGGGAGCAGGAGGCCCACAGACTCAGAGAGGGAGAGGATCCCCTCTCAGAGGGATGCACACGCCAGCCTGGATCAGTAGCTACAGCACTGCCAGACACAGAAGGCGCACGATCCAATGGCCACCGAATGAGGGAGAGGTGGGATGGAGGGAGTGGCCAGTGGACAGATGGACAGACAGATGGCTGGCTACGGTAATAGACAAGAGATGGATAAAGGAAAAAACCTGAGTCTAACAGAGTTTTTTTGCGAGCAGAGTCAGTAAATTTGGGGCATCCTTTGGCCCAATCCTGATTTATTTTCTTTTTGCAAGAAGGAGCTCTTGCAGGCTAGAATACAGCATCACCTGTGGCGTTGGTCACTGGGACCAAAGGTGCTTCGATCAGTAACCTTGAGGCCCCGCTGCACCCACCTGTCCTCTGTGTCCCTTCGCGGGGCGACCAGTGGTGGGTCCCATTTTTTCCGGGCTGTTCCGTGCTGCTCTCCTGGTTCTCGCCGCCCGGAGCGCGGCCGCTGCCTGCAGAGGGGGCAGCCCTCCCGTCCACGTCTTCAATGTTGCCGGCGCCTCCCTGGCCAGAATCACAGCCCTTGCGCACCCTGGGAGGGGAGAGGGACCTCAAGCGCTCTCAGCAGACATTCCTACCCCCTCCAGGGCCGCCCCCCACCCAAGTCGGAGTCAGGGTGGAAGACTGCGCTCCACGGGTGAGCAGCACGCCTGGGCGGCAGGGGAGAGGGGGGCTCCTGGTCCCTAAATGCCAGTGCGTGGTAAATGAACAAACTGCCCTGGGGTGAATAAGCTACAGCCCTGCCCTTCCGAAAGAACCCTGGGCTCTGGGGCCCGTGATGAGCAGCTCCGCCACACTCCGCGGCTGCTCCTCCTCGAATCCATTCCAGCTAACCCGAGACCTTTCCACAAGCAGGCAGAGGGCTTACTGGATGAGAGCCGCACGCCGGGGTGGGGGGGGTGGGGGCGTTCAGGCCTGGTCTCCCTGACAGAGGTGGAACAGTTACTCCTGCAGACCCACAACCTCTGCAGGAACGCGAGCCGGACCTCAGCCTCAGCCAGTGTGAGGGACACAGAGTCTCATCTGTGTGAGGCTCCCCCCGACTCATCCTCTGAAACTGCTTGTGGAGACAAATGATCTGTTAGGCCACTTGGGAATAGCAGTTTTCATCGTACGTGGAAATGGTGGTCAAGAGTGAAACTCTAACCAGAAATGGGGGAGCTCTACGTGCACCCCCCACCCCCAGCATCTGGATGAAGGCCTGGGTAGGAAAGACCTACCTTAACCACTTGGTTCGGAACCACGTCCTGATGCCGTCCAAAGTGACGGGGCCGCTCCAGACACTCTGCAGCTGCCTGTGGGTCCCTAGGTAGGACGTGGTTAGCGGGGAGACATACATGGGGTACCCCAGAGGCTGGTCACAGGAGGAATTAATCAAGTTTCGGAGGACCTGCTTGTTGTTCTGGATGCTTCCACGCTCTGGGTTGCGGTTGCGAAGGAATATGAGCTCTTGCTGCTGGCCGGCCCAGAGGCCACGGACACATTCTTTGTTAACCTGTGGGTCAGGGAAGGAACGGGGAGGAGAGCGGATGACGGCGCGTGTTTTCAGTCTGCTGGTTTTACCCTACAGACCGTGAGCAGGGCTGTGGGTCTGAATATCGGTGACTACACCACTCTGGCCTGAAGCCGTTTCCACGGTCAGGCCAGAAGAGCGGTCCTAGAAGATGGGTATGATGCCACTTTCATGGGGAAACAGGGCAAAAAGAAAGTTGTTGTTTTCGATCCAGTGTTTGAAGCAATACAAAGAGAAGAAATACTGGTTAGAAAGCCTTCAGGTCCAGGAATAGGTTATTAAAGTTCTGGAAGTTTAGAGAATTAGAAAGTGTTTACAAATAAGCCAGATCCTGACCCTCATCTACATGGGCGTCTACCAGGACTTCTTGCCAAAGCCCCTGCCTACACACTAGTTCTCAGGGGCGGGAATGACCCTGGCCCCCTGGCCCACTTCTGCTCCCCCAAGACCGTGTCCCTGAAAGAGAAGCTGGCCCAGGGACGCAAGCGCTGGTACCAGCCGGGAGATAGGGCCACTGTACCTTGATAACCTTGAAGCTCAGGAAGCTCCTGTGGAGCATGATGACCTTGTACTCGTCTGTGCCCTCGTCTACCACGTGCCGCAGGGTGAGAAGCTCCTCCTTGTTGGACAGCACGGCGCCCCTCCAGGCCGGGTCACCCTCGTGGCAGATCACTACTTTCTTCTCAAAGGACTGGATGGCCTCATAGAGGACCCCTGGGTCTTCATATTCGTCGGGGCAGGTGAACTGGTCCTGGAGGAAGGAAGTCCATTTGCGGACTCAGGGTGGACCAGAGAGCTGACCCGGGGGTGAGTGTGCAGATGGTGACTCAGCCGATGACCCTAAGAGCCAAGTCCACATCCACATGGACTCTTCCCCCTCTCCTTCCGAATCCCGAGCTGGGGAGGGGACACCTCCTCCTCCCACTGTCCTAACTGCTGGAACGTGCCCAGGGAAACAGCTTTGTGGCTTAGGTTTGGGCACTTGAGATGTCATTTTCTCTGGCCAGTTCCCCTTTTCTGTCCTAGCACAGTATCCCCACCTGCTAGCCGCTCTCGAGGGCCAGTAGCCACTGGCTGATGTCAAGAATATCTGGCTGGCCTCAATGCTTAGTTACCCAAGTAACACACCCACTCACAAATGTCATGCCAAGAAAAGGGACCTGAAATGTCTTGTTTGCTCCCTAATGTTTCAGACTTACCTTTTTTTAAAAAAATGAGTTTTTAAAAACTTTTTTATTTTCTTACCTGGTGAAGCTTCAGGGACATCCTGATGGCCGGAGCAACAACCTTATGCAGAAGGTCCATGTCGGCAAATACCCACTCGTCTCGTGCTGTGATTCTGAAGTCACCTTTGAAGAGGGCGTGAAGGCCATACAGGAAAGAATCCAAGCTGTAAAGCAAAGTTCGACTTACCGTTCGCTCACACTGAACAGTGTTCAGAAACCTGTCACTCTGAGCAAGGTCTGAGGCTCCCATCTGTCATGTCAAGAATGACCGTCATGCCTTGCAAACGCTGTCTGAGGCGGAGTGCACCGATGCCCAGAGCCTCCCAACAACGGGCAGAATGGCCAGCCTCAGAAACCGTGGCCCCCTGCCCCCGAGTCCCTCATGTTGAGCTCCAAGAGTGAGGGTGCAGGTCCTGGTCACTGCAAGCCTCTGCGTGCGGCTGGTCTGTTCCAGGACTCCCAGCAGTGCCCTTCTCAGGGGGTGACTGACAGGGCCCCCTGGGGAACAGCCCAGAGCATGTGCTGTTCTCCTTTGGTTTCTCAGTACCACCGGCAGGCTACGTGACTTGTAATAAAAACTGGATTCTACCACAGGGTGGAGAGGAAGAAAATGAAACCCAGTAGAATTTCAAATGGGCCATTCCGATTCTCTGAGCACATCCGCTTCCCAGCCGCACCCTTGGGTGAATGACTGTGGAAGTGGCCTCATGGGGGGTTGGGGGGGCTGTTAAAATGAATGACCGAAGGGTTTCTCAGGATTATCCGGGTTTTCCCGTTTCCAGGCTTTTCCTGCTCGCCTTCCATTTCCTGCACATAGTTGAGCATTGCCTGGATCGAGAACACAAGAGTGAACCCAAGGGAAATCTCCCACGGTCTGGGCACTTTACAGTTGGGATGAACGTCGGGGAACCCAGCTTTGGGAAGGCAATGGATCCTGTACAATGGGAACAGGAAGAGGTGTTCTTCCTACTTTATTTCCACGAGTATACTCAGTCGAACAACCCTGGCCTCTTACTGAGGTGGTTATGGGGTGGGTATAAAGCAAAAGCAGTCCTGATAGGGCCGAACTGGGACAGAATGAGCAGGAAAATGTGTGAGAAGGACAATCTCTGAGGATGGCTGTTCGTAAGGATTTAATGAGTTGGCTCACCGAGCCAGACTTTTGATTCAACACAGCACATTAGACCGGCACGTCAGGGGAATCATTCCAACTGATGGCTATTTTAGCATTTCGTGGCAAAACGTACCACTATCATTAATTTCCTTCTGGAACTCTCTTGAGAGGGATGCCGAGGACTCGAGTCAGAGCAGACTGTGGGAAACGGAAGTAGCTGAGGTCTAGGCAGGTGGGGCTCAGGATGCTGTGGTCTGGAGGAGCCCAGAAACTTCCAGAAAGAGTTCCGGGAGGCAGCCTTCTCAAAAGGCTCTCCCCTCACGGAACAAAGACTTCCTGGGGCTGCGAGCTTTAGCGACCACCTGGGAGGCACCGAGGAGGGAGCTACAAGACAGCAGGGCTGGGATGCAGCAGGGCGAATGCCAAGAGCAGAAGCTTTACAGTAATGAGTACTACCTGCTGTTGGCCGAAAATGCCCCTGTCATCAGATGGGAGCTAAGCACTGAGAAGGAACAGCTAAGCAGCAGGACATGGGTGGGTCTTCTGAAAAGGATTAGGAATGCCATGTTGCTTGTACACAGAGGAAGACAAAACACTCCTCCAGACATGGGGATGGGGATGGTGGCAAAGGAAGATTAAGGGACTCGCCCAGATAACCAGAGTGGCCCCTGCAGACCAGAGAGCAGAGCAAGGAGTTCAAGGCGCCAGGCTCTCGTTTGCTCAGTGCAGGTGCAGGGAAACCACAGACTGCTTACTCATCAGGAGGGAAAACACCCCTTCCGTGCGAAGGCCCCCGGCAACACATGCTTGTCATTTTGGGGGGGAGAAAATGACGTCAGACCTAATGCTGTTCTTTTAAAATGATTCTCAATGTAGGAAACAAACCCTGAATCAGAATTCCACTGGACTGGCGGTATTATCCCTAGCACCTTAAAGGTAACGGCATCCTGAAAGAAAGGTGTTCCATTATCCTTAAGAGAATGAAGAGGAGGAAGGCAGAGGGATGTGATGAGCTGGGGAGGGCTCTGAGAGGCAGAGCCAGGTCTCTGGGACACCTGCAGCATGTTTCGGATTTGGAGCTTCCTAGTGCTTTGTCTTTTTAAGATTCCACTGAGCAATACCGAGCTCCCACCCCCAGGCCAAGAGCTGGAGTGGGGAAAGAGTACCATATCTGAGTCAAGCAAGGCTGGTCTTCATGGGGACTAAACAGCCACCCCCTATCCCCCCTCTAACTCCCCCCACCCGACCTGGGATAGTAGTGAGACATGTTGTCTCACCTGTTCTATCACAGAGTCTGTTGGCCAGGCAATCACCCATGCAGGGGCAACTATGTCCAGATGTGTGGGATTAGGTAGAGGCCAAGGCAGACCGGGTCCCAGAAGAAACTGGACACGTGTATAATCGTGTGTTAAAGACGCATATGCACACGTAGAGAGCCAAAGACCACGGTGCGGAGATAAGCATGGGCTTCCAAGGCACTAAATGCAGGCTAAAATTTCAGTAAAAAGAGCACTAGAAAAATATTACTCCTTAATATGATGATGAGTAGCTAGTGCTTGAGTGCATTTTCCTTTTAAGGGAAAAGACTGGTATGTACTGTTTAGGCTGTAAGACCACGCTGCTCAACCCGAGAACACATCTAGTGTCCTGGCCCTCCAGCTGACTCCGTGAGAGGGACTCTGTCTGCACTGCTTCCCGCTTAGCCCTGAGCCCCTCTCCTGCAAGGTTCCACCCACACTCCCCAGGCCGAGGACTGGAGTCATGATCTTGCCTTTCTCACGACATGTGCATTTGTGCACGTGTGTGTGCATGTGTGTGTGCACGTGTGTGTGTTTACACGTGTGTGTGTGTGCATGTGTGCGTTAGAACAGATGTTCCAGCCTCTGGCTTGGCATGACTCTGCAGCCCCAGCAGACACGAACGACCATAAAGCTGGGTACTCTGATTGCTCGAACTCCCTGTGCTTGTCTTTCTGGTTCCTGACCCAGCTTCCTATGAACTTCCTATGACGCCTATGGATGAGAGGCTGGGGTCGTTGGTACTTAAGCACCATTGCTCCCAGCCCCTCTAGAAAAGGCTGTTTTCTGGCTTGAGGCTGTGGCTGTCACTTGCAGAGCCGACCACTGCCGGTGTGTGAGCTTGGCCCGAGGCTTACGCTTTAACTGGTCTTGCTCATCTCAGCACCCTCGCCATCACCTTTCACAGCAAGGACAATTTGAGGATGGCCAGTCGAAGCAAAGGCTGTTTGTTTTCACCATCTTGTAACTCCGCTTTCTTTATTTACAGAGTCTTCCTCCTGGCTCTGTTCTAGCCTGAGGTTGCTTATGCCCCTCTAAGCCCCACTTTTGTTCAACATCACTGATGGGCTTAGCCCATCCCTCATCTCTACCTTCTCTCACTGGTTCTCAACTGCTGGCAATTTGGGCCCCTGGGGGCCATTTGGAAACCTTTTTGTATGTCACAACTGGGGCAGGGAGGAGGGCGGTGGTGTGTTCTGTCACCTAGTGGGGAGAAGTCAGGCAGGTTTGCTGCAACAAAGCAACAAAGAACCATGCAGCCCAAAGGTTCATCGTGCCTCTGCTGAGAAGCTGCTCTTCCTGAGAAAAAGCACCATGCGAGGGAGGTTACAGATTTCCAGTTTCGGACAATGGGGTCATTATCTTGGATCCTGGCTTAATGAATTTTAGGGTTCGGGGGGAAACAACTTTAATGCCAGGATAGTTCCTGCAGGACTTGCAGTGGGCTCTCCAGAACAATGACTGATTTGTTCATTTTCGCTCCTTTCCAAACAGGCCCATAGACTGTGTGTTTACAGCTCAGCATCGCGAAGAGCCTTCTGTTGCCGCGCATCTCGCAGTAAATGGAGAGCTGGTAGACCATATGCGAACAATTAAGTGTGATTTGCAGGCTGGGTTTCCCTGTGCTTACCGATTAGTAACGGAGCTGCATAGGGAGCTGGGCCTGTCATCCTCAGTCGGTACTCCAGGCTCAGAGAGCACATCCAGCTCGGGAGCCCAGCATGCCTTCGTGTGCTTTACTCCGTCTGTGCAATTCAGCAACCTGCCCTGGTTTTGTGGCTAATTCCACCACCCCAGCCATATTCTCCAGCTAAAGATCCACTCCCACTCCCAGTACTAACGAACAACAATGGTCCAGGTGACTAGCACCACCTCTGAGCAACAGGAAGTGAGACAGAGGTTGATAATTTCCATTTCTCTGATGGTTTGTGGATTACTAAGCCCTTTCCATCACATTAGCTCAATTCATTCTCGTGGGTGCTTGCACAAGATATATTATTCTAGCCCTTTCCTTTAAGAGGAAACAGGCCAGAAAGGGATAAGAAAGAGGGTAAGACAGGTGGGAACAAATACTCTGTATCTCATGCCACGGAAGACGCATCAGAGCAAAGCCACGGCTGCCTTCTGCTTCCCCACCCATCCAGGAAACCCAGCCTTGCGTTGAGAGTGTGTAACTGGACCATCTTCTTACAGACCAGCCCAGAGGCTCTGTTAGAATGAACTAGTTCTTGAAGCTAGTCCATCGGCTTTAAAATCAAACCAGCCCCCGGATCCCAGCTACCTCCTACCTGGTAAAGAGCACTCTGACAGAAAGCAATGGCATCCCTCAGGTAGGATCAAGGTGCTTCACTAGGTTTTAGAGTTCAGGTACCACACAGAGAGGCACCTATGGCCCCAAAGAGCTGGGAGCCAGAAACCTAAACCCAAGCTTCAATTTTGGCTCTGATACTTGTTGATACTGGCAAGTCCCTTGTCCTCATTATCATCTTTTTCTTTCTGTGTTCATCCTTAAAATCAGGCTTGTCCAGGGAGATGTGGAGGCCGGGTGAGGGGCTGGCTAAGATCTCTTTACATTGGGGACTGGGTGCACAAGTGTGGTTTCAGGACAATGGACACGGGTCAGTGGGGGGAGAGAACAAATCCACCCCAATGTCCAGCATTCATCTGTCCCCCGGGACCCATGCCTGAGTCCTGAAAGATGCAGAAGACAAGTTCAAGACAGCGGGAACATTGAGAGCACAAGGCAGAAGTA